CCATAGTGATACTGATTTTATTGTCAAGCCTGGAGATCGTATTGCTCAATTTATCTGTGAAAAAATAGCTTATCCAACTTTAGAACACGTTGAAGCATTAGATGACACAAAGAGAGGAGCAGGTGGTTTTGGTTCAACTGGAGTGAACTAGACTACTAATCATACATTTAATATCATTGTTATTACTAATCCTAAAGTTGAAGTTAATTATTTTTATACTTTTCTAAATAAATTTTTTTGGTCATAATTTAATTATTGCACTATTTCCCATTTAACAATATACATAACTATTATTAATATACAGAAAAAAAAATACTTGACAATTTTTATTACTTTTTATATTACATTTTTGATGTTGGCACCAGTCCAGTAGAAAGTGATGGAGTCCTGACCAAACTTAGAATTTTCTTAAAATCTTTATGTCTTGCATCTTTGAGAAGTTTGTAAATTACATTTTCAGAAGTTGCAATGTGACATCCAATTTGTTTCATTCTCTGTAAAAAAATGTTTTTTTTTTTTTTAATTTGATGAGGCTTTAAAAAGCTTTGAATAATTGTACCTCTAAAGCAAGTAATCTGTCTTCTTGAGTCCTGGATGAACAACAGTCAGCCACAGTGTGAACTTGATACCCATTCTGTATCAAATCGATTGCTGTATTTTCAACACAAATATGACATTCAATACCAATCAGAACAACATTTTCTGGTGGTCCACTGTTACAAAGAGAGGAAAGTTCCTGGCTGACCTTTAAAGGTAGTACAAACAAAAATTATAATGCAACTGGAATAGGCATTGACAAACCCACAAAAAATTCATAAAAATATATGCATCAAACCTCAGGTGTAAACATGCTAAATTGCAATTTAGAAAAAGGACCCTTTGCCCCAGTGATGTCTAACTGTGGAACCGTTGGACCTAAGGCCTGTGGATTGTGTTCTGTAGCTATCATTGGAACACTTAATATTCTGCAAGCTTGAATCTAGAAGGGATATAGGTAAATGAAATTTTTTCAGTGCAACAGCGAAATTAAATTTCTACAATATTTTTGATACCAACCAGCTTTGACGAATTAGTAACAATCTTGTCAAATTCATAAATTACTTTTGCAAATTTATCTTGCAAGTCGCAGATTAACAAGGCGGTTTTTCCTTGTTTCAAAACAACTTTAGCTGCGTTGAGAGCCATTTTGATATCAACTAGCTGATTTTTTGTATTATAAAGCCACGTACATCACAATCTTTTTAAGAAGACTGATAAGTATCTTAATACAAATCAATTTTTTAACAAAAATATATATACACGCAATTAATCACCTTTTTTATCGGTTGAGCAATTAGGTTGCGAGTTGATTTGCCAACTGAGGAGCAATTTCGAATGAATTTCTCGAATTATCGATTGGTATGTCTGCTGGTTGCGTTCCAAAATCCGACAGAGCTCTCTGAAAAAATAGTTCCACTCTTGTTTATCAAACGCTTATCACAGGCTTTCAAGCGACTTTTCTTTACGTTACCAATTTTTGGAACACAGTAGACTATATATAAAACAAGCAAAGTTTCACTTATAGCAGTGTAAGTATGTAAACTATATGTTAATACCTACTACTAGTGTACTAGTTGTGTTACCAGTATATCATATACCTATAGTATACCTACCCAGCCAGCACCGAGTTACCCTAAGGAATTCTGGAAGATAACTTCTGTAAGATAAAGGTCAAGATCCAGTTAACTTGGAAGTTACTTTGCTAAAACTTACAGACAACGCATGGTTCTCTTAATACCAGCGTAGAGATAACTGAAGTGAATAACTTCACGTCATCTAAAGTTAACTGCAAGTTAAGCTTTCAAAGTTAAAATTT